TTAATTTTTGCACCTAACAAGGACATTAAAAACTTGTCCAACAATTGGAAATTTGTTAATACACAAGTAAGATTTTCGACATAGGGCTGTGTGGTACGTGATAAACTAACTTCTACTTGGCAAGGATTTTACGTCCGTCAGTGGTCAGTGAATGGCATCACATGTTATGTCCACAGCAACCAAGTGCAATGCGGGTGGGAAATTTAGCAGTACGATTTGTAACGGTCACGATTGTGGAATTAGGCACGTGTTCCTTGCATTTGTTCGAAAATCTCTAGACCTGTATAAGGTTTTCCGAAAAATTGTGTGTTTGGTGCAAATTTTCACATGACCATGCCAGGCCATGCAATGTGCCGAAATTGGAACTTACCTTGATGTGTTGTTTACACCAGCAGGAATTTTCATATTTTCGTGAGGTACAAAGTAAAATGTGTGAGGAATTTCCAAGAAAAATATCTTAATATGTTGGCGAAACTCACGTGAAAAATAAGCCATTCTCCATTACTTCAAAATCAAATTCCGGAGATGGGAAAATTTTACGTTGATGTTAAGATTTTATGTCCTCAACAAAACATTCATCACGTTCGGAAATTGGAAATATCTCTCCAAATATTTCTGAATTGAATTGTCAAATTTTTGAATAATAACAAATCCTTAAGGGAAGAACCTTAATGTCCGATATCTTTAATTAGTAAAGTAAGGAGCGACCATGGACTTTGGAAATCTCAATAATGAAACAGTAGATCTAGCCTGAATGGAACAAATAATAATCACAATTTTTATCAAACGCGGTATTAACTAACATTCAAACGAATCTAAAGATGGGATATATCGGTTGAATGTTTTGGCAGGTCGCCCACATAGGGTATACAGAATGAAGTGGTCGAATGCTGATAGTTGTAAAATTCAGCATATTTTTCAATGTGGTTCGAATAAGAGCGACCATGCTTTGCTCCTTCGCTCGAAATCGAGCAGATTCTACTTTTTCCGAGAACTCTTTTGGTTCTTGTCATAAGGTTGTTGTATTTCTATCTATGCGTATTTTCTCAATCCATGAAACTCTATTTCGAAAGATTCGACTCCTATTGTAATTTTTCAAACAGGACTGTCTCGCGAGGGCCCCCACATAAAACAACACAGTGTAGACTAAAACTTTCATTCTTCGAACGATCGAGCCCAAGAGCGAGCTTCACTTCCCAGTGAAAACGGGCAAACCTGTTCTTTGGTTAATATCCAAGTGCGGATCGTCAATCTCCTTTATGGATTCTTCCGTTCCACAATTACTCCAACATGTCTCAAAGTTCTGAGGCTTATGACTTGCGCTGCCTGAATTTTTGAGTAAAATAAAGGTCCTGCCAAATACAGGGTGAGATAAAAAACTGCAACAAAGTCAAACGCCATAATTTTAATTTTTTTTTGAAGATTTGTTCGAATTGGTCATCTTTAGCACTACTTATGGCCTTCAAACGGCCAATGAAACCGTCACATGCTTCCCGGATGTTGCTCTGCGCTTGTTTGTGATGATCGACACTTTGGTATTTTTTAGTGCCAACCTTGCTTTCCAAAATACTCTAGACACAATAGTCCAACGGATTGGTATCCGGAGATTTTGGTGGCCATGCCCGTGCTGCAAATGAAGCGAGGAACCTCATTTTGTAACCATTCTTGGGTGGCGCGTGCTGAGTCCTGCTGGAATGTCCAAGGTCTGCGGCCAAAATGTTTGCGTGCCCAAGGCTTAAATACACCCTCCAGAATATTTTCGCTATAATATTCCGCATTTATTCTGATGCCACGGTCGATTAATACGAGCGGAGAGAGACCATCGGCTGTTATGGCGGCCCTCGCTTGAGCTCTGGTGGCCAACCGAAGGTGCACATTTTCAGCTGACCTCTTTTGCAAATAATCCCGATCATTTTGTTTGTTTACAAACTGCTGGACAATGAATGTTTTCTCATCGGAGAAACCCAAATTCGGTAGTTCACCACTTTCGGCGAGGCGAAGCAACTTCTTAGCTCTTTTGAGTCTATTTTCTTTTTATTGCGGTGAAAGTTCTTCTAATTTTTGGAATTTCAATGGCTTTTCCCCGAGCTGATTTTTTAATATTTGCCGAATGAAATATTGCGATATGTTCAGCTCACGAGCCATTTTTCGGTCACTGCAACGCGGGTTTCGATTGTTGCTGTTTTCTTCCGTGCACTTCCTTGACGTCGGGCTTCGCTACCAGTATCACGGTAACAAGCGATGGTACGAGACACAAAAGATTTATTCAGGCTGCTCTAACGATAGCCACTTGTGGTTCTCCAGCCAAATGTAAAGAAATCACACTATCACGCTTGAATTCCATCGCGAATACCTTTTTTTCTGGAAAATTCTCACGAAAATGCTTCTGTTCGCTTGTAAACAATATAATGAGCTGTCACTGGAATAATTTTAACAGCTGTCGGACGAGTGGCTTAGAAATGACAGCAGTCTGAAGTTGGTTGCAATTTTTCATCTCTTTTCAATTCTCTTGCAGGGTTCTCCGTACTTCTTGTGTAGAATTTCAGACAATTTCATTGAAAACTCTGGCTAAAATCATAAAAATACCGAATATTGGGGGTACCGTTTTATGGGGGCTATACGATATCGATATAGCCCATCTTCGAACTTGACCTGCCTTCTTATTTTCTAGCTTCCTATCTTAATTCGTTTTGACTGTAGGGTGATAAATAAAAACTTTGTTGGGTCTAAAATTCTTATTTCGATGAGTTACAAAGGGAATGAAGAACTTAATATACCCTCTATACTATGTATGGTGGAGGGTATAAAAATGTATCACTTCAGAGGACGTTCCAGCGTTCAACAGCATATGCCCCCTTCTCTCCTAAATATATGCAACTCAACCTGATTTTAGGTAAAACTCCACTTCCAATGAGTCAATTCTTATTTGTCATACTGAGTCCTTGGTCCTGCACCCCCTCAAAAAAATAAGTCAAGGTCATAAATGACTTTCTATTTCCTTCCATTAGTTATCTGTTTTTTAAATTCCCTTTCAAAACAACATCTAATTGGCTACTGTATCCAACCTAATTGTCCAATACCTGTCATCAAATTCCAAATCACTTTCGCCAGTGGCCCGGAAGAATCCATTAAAAAAAGAGATAAGTCTTAATTTCACTTTACCTTGACCAAAATGCAAAAAAAAAAAAATCTCGTCTAGACGACCGAAGAGATATGGCTGGTCTGTGATTCATCAATGCCTAGGAATTCTTATCATCATTCGGGTCATTGAAAGCGAAAATATTGACCCGTGCTTGGCCGGCGACAATGAGAGGTAAAAAATGAATCCACAAAAAAAAAAATAGAGAAACCTTGCCTGTGATTCATTCAAATTCTTAGAGGTTATCTGGGGGGTTCTTTTTATGGCTGGCAAAAGTGATCTCTCTCGAGCTAATTGCACTGGAATGCGTTTGGCCCATTCCAATGCAATTAGCTCGAGTCGTAAAAATCCTGGGAGCAAGCCATTATTCAGTGATATTTTTTTGGCCTTTGTCTTTACCATGACCCAGGTTAGTTGCTGTTTTCCCCCACCTCCTGTTCTTTTTTTATTTTTTTTTTTTCGAACCAAAGTGTTTGCCCAAACCCTGGGAAAATTCCGACGTGCCTTCTCGTGTCTTTTGATTTAATTTCCATTGCTTGGCTGCTTCTTTCTCCGCATGATAATTTGATGGCATTTGTCATTGTTTGCCGGTCGGCCGGCCGGCTTTCTTGTACAAACATTTCTTTACACCCCGAAATTTTGGTATTTGTTGGTTTCCTCCCCTCCCCCAACGTTCTCTTAAAGTCATGTCATTGTGGTGTCTACTTAAAGACATTTCATTTTATTGTCTTGAAAAATTCTCCGTTCCCACGTTCTGAAAGAACCCTCTCGCCTGAGTTTGGACAGACAGAAGACAGACATTAGCTCACATAGCTATGGGTGAGTTGCATTGTTGTCTTGGCCTCCACCCCCTCCCCGTCATGCCAGCAAATAAGCCAAACAGTAGTGGCATTTTAAATACCCCGAAGAAAACACTTTAAGGTCTTCAGGTCTTCTTTTGAGCACACGTGTCTATTTGCTTTGCATGTCTTTGCCATGTCTTTCATGGGAAAGGGTACTCCAAAGGCCTGGCTCGTTATTATCGGGGTCTTCAAAACTAATTGTTTGCGGATTGAAGCGTGAAGAATTCATTTCAGAAATTATTTTCTCCCACGATCCCAAAAACGGTTTCGAAATGCACACGTGTTCAATGAATGGGAGGATCTTTTCAATGATTCCAAGGATGATGATAATAATGGACGGTAATACGAGCAAGCAAGCAACAACAACAACAACACGAATGCTATGGCAAACAAAACTAGGTTATTAAACAAGATCCAAGTGTTCAGTACAAAAAGAAACTGCCAGGATTCCAAAGCAACAAGGATCCTTTTTTCCTTGGATGGCTGTCCGTCCATCCATCCGTCCGTCCAGCCATTAACCAAAGTGTGGGAACTCAAAGAAATGCTTGTTTCTCACGATCCTTACAAAGGATAAAAAATTCTGTTCATTCCCCCAATAACCTGCAAGAGCAAGCAGTCCACCATTACCAGCTATCCTTGTTTGGCCTGCAGGCAGGTTTGGAAATTTTCAAAACACACCTGCCGTTTTTTATGTATGGACTTTTTTCCCCTGCTCAGCAAACGATGTATCCTTAAAAACATTCCCACACTTTGGGACTTGGGACGGACGGATGGAGGGACAGACATACCCTTACACCACAACAACAGTGCGCAGAGCCTGACTTAAGTGCTGGTATTTTAGTTTTGAGACCTGCTTATGAATGCACAAGCAACCATGACTTCCTGCAACAGCAACAGGAATATGAGTAGGGGGAGAGACTCAAAACAACACAGAGAGAGAGAGGGAGAGAGAAAAACAACCACCAACTCACAGAGTATAAAAGGCCCAGGGTAGCAAGGATCAGGCATCAGACTCACTTGAGCATTCAAACAGTTTACATATCCCCTACCAAAACAACACAACAAAAATGTGCGTAGATATCGCCACCGCCAACAACAACAAAATGGAAATCCTCAACAACCACCACAAGAAATTTGCCGCTTCCTATAGCATCAAAAAATTGCTGAAGCAACTTTTCAAACACCACAAATCCCAAAAATTGGCTGAGCTACAAAATTTGGAAAATGCCAAAGAAGCTGCCTCCTTGGAATCTCTCGAATCGCTGGAAAATCAATGCAATGCCCATCTTGAATTTGAAGCCACCTCCTTGGAATGCCATGAAAATGACATTAATGAACGTCTCTCGTCCAAACAGCAGTCCTATGAATTGGAAGATTATGATTTCAGTGAAATCAATGCCGTTGTCCCGGTTCATTTTATACGCACCGCCGAAGGTACCTTCTTCTGGACCACCAGCTCTGATGTGCCAGCCGACAATGATTTGCCTCAACCCATGAGCTGTGCCACCTACAATCAATTGGCCAGTTGTATGCAAGATCGTTGGGCCCAAGCCTAAATTCAGCAACAACAACAACAGTTCCTGCTTCCTTCCATCAACCTGAAGCCTGTAAATCTGTGCCTTCCTCCAATGTCTTCCACATCAAAACTTCAATGGTTTCTGTTAATTTTCAAGGAAAATTTAACATGAAACTCCTATCTCTAGAAAAAATAGCTTTAACAAAAGAAAAAAACAACAAAATTATTGTGATATTATTTAAGTAATTTTTTTAAGAAAAAAAAAAAAAAACAAAACAAATATTTATACAAAAAATACAACAAAAATTGAAAATGAAATTTTTCTGAATTTTTTTATTCTATTTTTAATGGGCGGGGAAAATCAATTAGAAATTGAAATTGGGAAAAGGGAATTTTTTTTTTTAGTTGGGTTCTTTAAAAATGACCCTCTTTCTTTGAAATACGAAAATGGGAAAGAGGAATAACTTTCCAATTGGATTTCCACTATAGATTCTAATTGAATAGCTTGTTCGAGAAGGTTGGAGTAGCAACAGGCGATTTCAGTGCGATTCCGTTTCCCTACATGTTGTAAGAAGGTTCAAAACCTATTGATCTTACTTCAATATTTTAATAACAGTCATCAGCTCATTATTGAGTGCCAAGGTATGCAATTTTGAAATTTTACATATTTTCAACATTCCTATCCCAGATATTTAATAAATGTTTCATTACGACTGGATGATTCGATAGTTCGTTATTTTATGGATGATTCATGGCTATTGTTGTCTGACTCGAATCGATTTTTTTCTGATTAAAAATGTTTACGCAAGGACTGTGAATAGCAAAAAAGGACACCGAAAAAAATTGAAAATTGATATTAGCCAAAAACCTTTTTGGAGCCTTTATTGGAGGTTTAAGAAAAAGATCAAAGAGAATATTCAATAAATTGTATGAAAGGGGTTTCCAATAAAGGATACTCGAAAATATCCTCAACATAACCACTTGTACCATACAAATTGGACATATGTATCCCACTTGATATGAAATCTATAGATAGTGTCAACATTCTGCAATTGGCGTATTGTAAAGAGACTGGGGTATAATATCGCATTTTATAAAAGCTACGATTATAATTTGTTATATTCATGCAAGATATAATGATATATAATTGGGAAGAAGAAAATCTAAAACTGATTTCACATCTAAAACTGATTTCACATCAGCCATATGGCTAGAGGGGGTATACAGATGAAAAAATTGGAACCAACTTCAGACTGCTGTCATTTCTAAGCCACTCGTCCGACAGCTATTATATTTATTCCAATGACAGCACATTATATTGTTTACAAGCGTACAAAAGCATTTTGGTGAAAATTTTCCAGAAAAAAAGTTATTCGTGATGAAACTCAAGCGTGATAGTGTGATTTTTTTATATTTGGCTGGAAAACCACAAATGGCTATCGTTAGAGCACTCCAGCATTTAAATGTGAATAAAATTTCAGCTCACAATGACCACTAAAATCTCCGGATACCAATCCGTTGGACTATTGTGTCTGGAATATTTTGGAAAGCAAGGTTGGCTCTAAAAAATACCAAAGTGTCGATCACCTCAAGCAATCGTTTCGCCGGGAATGGGCCAAAATACCGCAGAGCAACATTCGGGCAGCGTGTGACGGTTTCATGGCCGGTTGAAGGCCATAATTCGTGCCAAAGGTGACCAATTCGAACAAATCTAAACTTATTCTAAAATTTGATGCTATTTCCGAAATTTTTTACATTTATTCAATAAAATTAAAAAAAAAATCAAAATTATGGCGTTTGACTTTGTTGCAGTTTTTTTTATCTCGCCCTGTATGAAAGTCCATCAAAAGATTTCTCTCTACAGAATTACGGTTTTCTGTCTATAAAAACTTTTGAATGGTCTTCTGCCGATAGAAGATCGTCGAAAGGGTTTCCGTGTACAAGAGAAGACTTTATAAATATAATCTCTGTAGACAACCTTCAATAGGTCTCCTGTCTACAGACAACACTAGAAGGATCTTCTTCCTGCAGAAGATTTGGGTAAAAAGGGTCGCCGAAAGTTCTTCTATATAAGGAACAACTTCTGGCTCCTTCACTATAGATAATACCTTTAAAAGATATTCTAGATAGGGAGGACATTTAGTAGTACTTCTATTCAGGCATTACTTTTTATATTTCGTATGTGTGCCTTCCCAATGACCTTTCTCTATAGATAATCATAAACATGTATTCTCTCTTTAGAAGGCCTTTAAGTGGGCTTTCAAAAGCTCTTCTGTCTATGAAATATCTTCTATTTGTGAATAATCTTGAGAAGGTCTTTTGTTCAAAAATAACTTTTAAAAGTTCTTCTCTTTGAAAGGTCTTATTCATATCAAATACCATTCATTACGTAGAGTATAGTTCTTTGCCCATAGAAAACCTAAAAGGGCCTTCAAAAGTCCTCTCACTCTCCAGGAGACTTTTTAAGATCTTCTTTCTGCAGAATGCCTTCGAAAGTTCTTCTGTCTATTGAAGATCTAGAAACGATCTTCTATCTTCAGGAGATCTTCAAAAGGTTTTGTTCCGTGGAGGACCTTAAATGGTCTTTGGTTATAGTAGATCATCAAAAAAAATCGTTGTCCATAGGCGATCTTCAAAAGTCCTCCTGTCAATGGAACCTTGAAGGTTTTCTCTCTTTAGATGACCTTGACATATCTTCTGTCTGTAGAAAACCTTCAGAAGGACTTCTGTCTATCCAAGTTCAGGAAAACCTTTGAAAGGAACTCATTGAAGGACCTACGTACGAATTAGAAAAAAAACTCTTCTGTATATGGAACACCTAAAGTTTAGAAGACCTTTTAAATTATTTGTGTCCTTTGGAGGCAAGCAAAGGATGTCCCATCTTAAAAATTCCCGAAAATATATCCTTGCTACAAAACAACCTGAAATGTCATTTGTCTATAGCAAACCGTCTATAGAAGGCCTCCAAATATCTTCTTCCTTTAGAAAATTTTTAAAAAAGCCTTCTGTCTATCGATGGCCTGGAAAAGACCTTTGTTCAAAGATCACGATGGAAGTTCTTTTGTCTAAATGTGACCTTGAAAGATCCGCTATTTATATAACTTAGAAGGATCTTTGGTTTACCGATATCGTAGATGTCTTCTTTTTGTCCATATCCTTAAAGATTTTTTTTTCGATGGATAACCTTGAACGGTTTTTCTTTCCGATATGAATATAGACGACCCTGTAAGGTCTACTATCTGCAGATGAGGATGTACATAGTGGGTAGATGACCTTAAAAGTTCTTCTGCATGTAGATCATCTTAAAAGGCCTTTACCAAGGTCTTCTTTCTTGTATAAAAGACTTTAAAAAATTTCTTTCTTTCAAAGGTCGTTTGTTGATAGAAGGAATTCAAAAGATCTTCTGCCGATATATGACCTTGGAGCGTCTTCTGTCTGTAGAAGAAGTTCTAGGTGCCATAGGTCTGTAGAATTTCTACTTTTTCAAAATTTACTGGGCTGATTCATCGCATTTATTTTTGTCAGTAATTGATATTTTATGTCCCCCATTCCACCAAGTGCTTCAAATGCGAAATCATGTTGCGTAACTAAAGTAGAAGGAAAATTCCAAAAAAGCGATAGCAATTAAAAACCACTTTTATGGCCTTTGGAGTTTAAAATCGGAAAAAGTGATTCCGAACTGCGGCTAGACAAATTAACCAAGCAGTGTAAATAGTATTTTTCTTTTATTTTTGTCATCGTCGTCCCTCGAATGTCGTAAAGTCAGGAATTTTCCCATCATAAGGTCAGCATATTAGTCAACAAATGGAGGTGGCAAACAGAGGTTCAGGGTGGTTGTTGTTGCTGCTGCTATTATTCAATAACCATAAAAACATTTTATCTCCAAACGCTACTTGTTACAATTTTCAACAACAACATGGTGTTGTTTTTTCTGATATTTTCCACCAGTCATTAGGACAAGAACTAGGGTTCCCTGGGTATTGTGTCCCAAAAAGAATTTTGGAATTACAACAACAATCCTACTAACTGTGATTACTTACCTGGCCTGTTTTTGTCTTGCTTACCTTTTGCCAGGAATGCCAGGATGAATGTCTGTCCGGCTGACTGCGAGTATAAAACGCCAAGGTGCGCAAGGAATAAGTCAGCATTCCCCTAACAACCTTCCTTGGAAGAACAACTACCAATATTTTCGACAGAGAGAGAGAAAATCGAAAAAATCAATACAAAATGTGCCTTCAAATCAATAACAGCAACAATCAATTCCACAAATTGGATGTCAGCACGGCCAGTAAGAAATTGCTGTCCTACAGCATCAAGAAGTTGATGAAACATATTTTCAAACACAAAACCCAGAAACTGTCGCAGCTACAAAAGGATGAGGACTACATCAAGGAGGGCAATTTCCTGGATAGTAATTGCAATAATACCTCCACCATCAATTTGAATATTTTGGAAACAACAAGTTCTGAAGAGAAGTCGAAAGAAGAAGTTATCACCAATCCATGGTCCCTCAATCAATCCTGCGATTTGGAGGATTTCGATTTTGCAGACTTGAGCGTCGATGTTCCCGTACACTTTGTACGCACCGAACATGGCACCTTCTTTTGGACATCCAACAGTGAAATACCAGCCGATAATGATTTGCCACAACCCATGAGCTGTTCCACCAATAATCAATTGGCCTGCCAGCAAAGTCGTTGGACCGAGGTCTAAATCGCTTGTATGGAGAATAATGAGTTTCCACACAGTTCCTGCTTCCTGGCACTCAGGAAACATGGAAACTGTGAGGCATCGCTACCAGGCATTCCACTGGTCGTCTTCCACTTCAATTCAGTTTCATTCAATTTTCCCCCACAACATTTGGCTTAAGCGGAAAATTGTCTCAGAAGCAATTAGGAATTTGAATAGCTTTAAACTAAATTATTATTGTGATATTTGATAGAAATATATATTTTAGCAACAAGTTTATAGGCAATATAGTTTTAAGAAAACATATTTTAAAAATAAATACTTGTAAATTGATTTTAAATAATTTGGTTTTAATTTGGGGCATCTTTTTGTGACAATTCAGTTCAAAAGATAGTTTCCTTCAGTTTTTTTTATCACAGAACGAGAGAAAGTTATGGTGAGAGTGCATGGTGAGAGAAGACAGAGTGAGAGAGAGAGATAGTGAGAGTGATTGAGAATGTGGTGCTGGTTTTAAAACTGACTTGAGTTTGAGTCCCCGCTAAATTAGGATATCTATACTTAGTTTCTTATTGTGAGTCTAGATGGCGTCAATGAGCAAGGAGGAGAACTAAGGAGAACTACTTTCACATATTTTGTTCCACAGGGGTACCATCCTTTGGATTAAACATAATTGTTCTTTTCCACTTATTTAATAAACGATCTATTAATTATTTTTCATACACATTTTCAGTGAGAACAGCCAATTAACCTCAGAAAGTTTACGCTATTTAGCTAGGTATGGCCTTCCAGTAGTTAAGAATTCAAGGAAACTAAATCATTTTTCTCAATATATTTAAAATATATACATTGAGTTCTTAGTTGAAAAAGTTCTGGTGGTTTTTGCAATCTATGATTTTTGGGAAAAGACAAGAAGTGATTGTGATTCTCACTTGTGAATTCGGGACACTTATGGAGCTTGCTTTTCACCAAAGTCGTCATATCAGAAAGTTGAAAAAGCCAAGTGACCATTCTCTGCGCCGCAATGAAATCAAAATACTTGTAGCGCAAATATTGTAAAGCTGTCGTTTTGAGACATATTCTGGAATATATTTAAAGAAATTTGGTGACATGTAGATGAGCTCTACAGAAAATAATGTTGAGGTTGCATTATTTTCTGTAGAGCACATTTACATGTCGTCAAATTTCTCATGGTTTCAACAGACAGAAGGACCGAAGATAAACAAGTTAAAAAGCAGTAAGTTCGGCCGGGCCGAACTTTAAATACCCTCTACCATTTGGAACGAATTTGGAAATTTTCAAAAAAAAAAAAGAAAAAAAAAATTCTTATTTTCTTAAAATCTTAAAAATACCGAATATAGCCGTTATATTGGGGTGTATACCGTATATAGGGAGGTACCGTTATATAGGAGCTATACGAAGACCAGATTCTGCATAGACGATTTTCTGTCACAAGCTGTAGCATCCATTACGAACTTCAAATACGACATCTTAAACAATTTCGGTGGGTATTGTACCTAAAATCGTAAAAATACCGAATACAGGGCGATACTGGTATATGGAGCCTATACGAAGACCTGGTCCTGCATAGACAATTTTCTGTCACAGACTGTAGTTCCCATTACGAACACTAAACACGTAATTTGAAACAATTCCGGTGAATAATGAGGCTAAAATCATCAAAACATCCAATATAGGGAGGTACGGTTATATGGGGGCTATACGAAGACGTGGACCTGCACAGAACGTTTTTCTGTCATAGGCTGTAGTATCCATTACGAACTTCAAATACCAAAATTGAAATAATTTTGGTGAATAATGTCGCTAAAACCATAAAAATACCGAATATCGGGAGGTACCGTTATATAGAGGCTACACGAAAACGTGGACATACATGGTCCATTTACGAAATTAACCTGCATACTGCAAAATAAACAGGTGTGCAAAATTTTAGCCTTCTATCTCAATTATTTCGAAAGATAGCCTGATTTAAACAGACAGACTGACAGATAGACAGACGGGCATCGCTAAATCGACTTAGAATTTTACGCTGATTACGAATATATACTTTTTGGGTCTGACATGAATATTTTGAGGAGTTACAAACGGAATGACAAAGTCAATATACCCTCCATATTATGGTGGTGGGTATAAAAATTAATATTGTGAAGGATGGAATGATACAATTAATTTGGTGGATGAAATACAGAACTAAAAAAGTACAACAGTATTAATTCTGCTCTCCTTGTAATAAAATATATTTAATATTATTGACCCACAAAATTATTACTCTTTTCATGGCCCGGAAGTAGGAACCATTTATTAACAGTAATACCAGCAAGAGAAGTAAAAACTGATACACAGATGACACTCTATATTGACCTTTTCAAGGTACATCACAGTAATCGTGACCCTCTAGGTGCTTTTAAAGATGTTATGTACTTCAATCTCCAGAAACTCTCTTTTACGCGGATAAGACCTTATGTATCACAAAATAGTTCATAGAAAATCTTCCCTCTAAGAAAATAACCTCAAGAATATGCATAAGTGGAAGATCTGACAAACATTACTTAAACACAGTTGCTCTAACGACACGTGATATGTGAAAGTTTTACCAAAGGTCTTTTACTGAAAATTTACCTCCTAGAAAATATTTTGTGTATAAAACTCCTCTTAAGGGTAAATAAATCGAACAAAGGTCATCTAAAGGCAGAAGGCCTCACACAATTCCTCAATAGATAGATATTGGGCATTTTTTGGGAAGAAGGCCTCCCAAGTGTCGATCTCCTAAATGCCTTTCCTTAACCTAAAAAAATCGAACAAAAGTATTTATAGAAGGAAACCTCCAACAGGCCTTCTAGAAGAACACCCAAATGTCTTTAGAGATGGCATGTATCCATCAAAGGTTCTTAATATGCAGGTGAACGCTTTAACGAGATTTATAAAAAGCATTTTGCCCTTCAAAGCTTTTTTAGGCATTTTTTGTCGAACAGAATATGCTTGTAAAGGTTTTCGGTAAAAAGTCCACTTTAGGGGTTCTTTATAAAAATGCCTCCTTCATGGTGTTCTGCAAAGCGGATGACCTATAAAATAGACCCTAATAGCCTTCTATAAAATTGAAGACCTTATGGCATCTTTCTTGAATGTTTCCCAAAAAAAAAAAAAAATAAAAGACCTTATTGAAGATCTCGAATGGAATGAAATATCGCGCGGATAGAAGAACTCCCGAAGGCCTGTTTTAATAAGACCTTATAAAGGCCTCCAATGGACATTCCAAAGATTTTCCATTCAAAATAAGAATTTTCTAAGTCCTCCCTACAATTGGAGTCTTCCACGACGATTTTTTGAAGACCTATAAGTGATTTGATATAGAACAGGATAAACATTAAAACCTATGAAATGTTTAATTTCTATATCTCCCACAGAACTTGAGACATTCTGTCATGTGGCTATAAACCGCAGTCTTAATATCAATTACTGAAAATAATAATTAAGGATAAGGATAACCAACCCCTACCGGCCTATTATATTACTAAAAATCCGGAAAAGAAAATTTCTGTGGATTTATTCCAACCGTTTACCCGCCTGAAACTATGCACTTCAAATTATATTTGCCAAATAACTTCTTTTTAGACCAACGACAAGATTTCGTTTTTCATATGGTAAATATCTTTAGCAGAGCCAAATGTGCTTTTTATTGATATCTTTTAGATTCTGCGTAGAATAGGGAGCTTTTTTATCTTGGTGGCATAAAACCTTAAGACTTTATATAATAACATACATTTTCATGGAGAATTAGTTGCAGTTTACCCGCCTAAAAGTATGCACTTCAATGCTTTGATAATTTTGACAATTTCTCATTAAAATAACAAGAAGATGGCGGTCTCAATAAGTTAAAGAATGTCGTTGAAAAGACTTTTGCAGGAAAAAATAGAAAACTTTTCCAGGTTCGATATTCTGCTGAGGGCAATTCTCTTTTTAAAAAAATAATAACATAGGTATTTTATTGAAATACTGTCCTTTTCTATACATGAGATAGTCAAAAGTCTACTCTAGAAGATATCTGTAGATTTGTTCTGAGTATAAAAGGCGGCAAACGAAAAAAGGAGCATTTTAAGTACATGCCTCGAAAGACACACCTGGTCCGCCATGATCTTTTTCTCAAGAACCTACAGATCTATATACGATGATTTTTAAAGAATTTTTTCTCAAGGACCTATAGACCAATATACGTGGATTTTTAAAAAAATTATTTTTTTTCTCAAGGACCAAAAGGTCAGTAAAAGTGGATTTTTAAAAGAGATTTGTTCACAAGGCCCAAATAGTCAATAAACGTAGATTTTTAAAGATTTTTTCTGCAAGTATTGAAAATGGGTCCACGTTTTGGTATAGCCCCGTATAACAGTAACTCCCTACATTCGGTATTTTGATGATTTTAGCGACATTATCACTGTAATTGTTTAAAATTTCGGATGTGCACTTCGTAATAAGAGCTATAGCCTGTGACTGAAAATTGCCTATGAAGGTCCAGGTATCCGTACAGGCCCCATATAGCAGTACCTCCATGTATTCGGTATTTTGATGTTTTGCGATTTTTCAAGTTTGTTATTAGAATATTTTGTATTGCCTATGACAAAACTTACCTAAGTAGGTCCATGTCTTCTTATAGACCCCAATATGAATGTAGCTCCCTACTTTCATGATTTTAGCAGTTTGTCACATTTTTTTTTTTTGAAAATTTCCCATTTCCTTCCATTTTTTTAGAAATGAAAACTAAATTTGAAATTTCAGTTGTAAAAATTTATTTTATAATTTAAAAATATATATTTTCGCTAAATAATATCACAATTTTAAAAAATTAGGCTATCTAGGATAATAACAGTCTCTTAATATTTTCTCTCTCAAAAAAATTATGAAAAAATAAAAGAAATCTTTTGGGAAGACATTGAAGGTCGGCTTGGGACACAGATAACAGGCTTCGTGGAAGACAGGAAGCAGGAACTGTGAGTGTTTGAAGGCAGGAGTAAGGTATTGATAACACAATTTGCAGGAAGACGGGATGGTCGTGCTGATTCGAAGATCCTACATTCTGCTCGGCAATTGATTGTTGGTTGCACAGCTCATGGGCTGGGCGAGATCATTATCGACCGGTATATCTGAGCTGCTGGTCCAAAAGAATGTACCCTGGGTGGTGCGGGCAAAGTGGACAGGAACCGCAATGCTGATTTCACTCAAATCATAATCTTCCAATTCATAGGATTTTTGCTTGGCCGCCAGACGTTCATTTAGGTTATTCTCCTCGATTTCCAGGGAGCTCGATTCCATTTTGGCATTGCTCTGATTCTCCAAAGATTCAAGGGCCTCAAAAAAGGATTCGGATTTTTTGAGTTGACTTAGTTGTGGCAGAGTTTTGTTGTGTCGTTGTTGCTGCTGCTTGAAGAGTTGCTTCATTAGCTTCTTGATGCTGTAGGTCATGGCAAATTTCTTGGGGGTGATTTCCATTTTGTTGCTCTTCTTCGTGTTGTTGTGTGGTTCTACAAACATGTTGTCTAGTTTTGTTAGCGGAATGTCCTGTGTGTGTGTGTGTGTTGTTAACTATGGGAATGCTCAAATGAGAATGATGCCTTATCCTAGCAGACTAGTTGCTTTTATACTCTCTGCCAGGACTCTGCTGAGAGGCAGGGAAGAAGAGAGAGAGAGGGAGAGAGAGTGAGTGTTCTACAGGTATTTGGAAAAATACCAGCTTCAAAGTCATTGAAAACCTTTTTTCTGTCCTTTTCAAATTTAATATCCTTATCCTTTAGGGTATCCTGTTTTTGGCGTGGGAACCTCTCATTGCTCTTTAAAAATAACATAATTTTTGTGAAGATAAGAAAAAACAAAGGCAACCAATCAATAATGTAAACTACTACCATTCAGGTGATTATCCTAGTTTTGTTTTTGTTTCTTTCCTTTTTCAAGGATGTGACTATGCATGTGGGACATGTTTGTTATCTGAAAGGAAACCTAACCTAACAAATTGAAAAATAGAAAAACAAAATTCCTTGACAATAGAAATCAAATTTCATTTTCAGGGAGAAGTTTCCCACGATCCTAGCTGCCTCATAGGAAGTTGCAAAGGACACGTGAGAATATTAGATTTTTTTCGATAAGAAATTTGAGGACAAAGACCAATATGAAGATGATGGTGATGGTCATAAGAAGAATGTTTGTTCCTTGTTGTTGTTGTTGCATTCCATTTGGATTTGTTTTCCCCGTTGTTTACATAACACTTTCTTCTGGAGTTTTCTTCCTTTGGCGATAAGTCAAAAGCAATCGTGGCATAAATGTGTGATGTACGTGCCAAGCTGCCTGCCACCACCATGCGCTAAGCGTGAGTCTGACTCGAAAGGAGGCAGAGGCAAAGCAGAGGGTGACAAGCTTGCGTATGGCATGATCTGTTGTTTATCTTTCTTTTTAGCTTGGCTTTTTGCTGATTTGACAATAAATGTCAACAGTTTGGTGTGTGTGTGAGTTTCAATGAATGGAGGCTCATTTTGTCGGATTCCCATGGCTGCGGTGTGAATGTTTAGCAGATATTTGGGCTGAGACAAAACAGCTAATTTCTTAATTGTTCTGTATTTTTTTTTTCATTCCTCAACTATTTTCTCAAATTACTGGGAGATCATGAGCCGTGAAAAAATACGGTCCATAAACGACACCAAACTGTGACTTTTTCTGGATGCCTTGGTAGCTTTTGTAAGGTTTCTGGCTGATCTTCACTCCTGATTTATGAAGCTAGTGTTGCCGAACAGATAATTGCCAAAAAAATCTTCCTTTATCTATTCACATGCTGTGAAGAAAATCTTTACTAGCATTTTACACTGAAGGGAAAGGACTTATTTTTACCTTCTTTTATGAAATAATATAAAATGTTGTATTTATTTTTTTTTTATTTTTTGCAGATACAAATTTCATCGAAATGCTAGTGGTAAGTAAATACATAAAAGTAATAAATATTTAATTAGCTGAAGTTGAAGGAGCTTAAAACACTTATATTGACAACAAGTAAAAAAACAGCTAAATTCGTGCGGGCCCAATTTTAATGCCCTACACCGTTTGGAAGGGACTTGAAAAATTAAAAAAAAAACCAAAAATATATTTTAAATTATGTCCTTTATACGGGGGCTTTACGAGAACGTGAACCTGCATAAGTAATTTCATAGGCTGTAGTACCCGTTAAGACCTTCAAATACCAAATTTGAAACAATTCCGGCAAATAATGTCGCTAAAATCATCAAAATGCCGAATATCGGGAGGTACCGTTATATGGGGGCTATACAAAGACGTGGAACTGCATACGAAATCTATATGTATAGGCTATAGTACCCATTACAAACTTCGAATACGAAATTTGAAACAATTCGGGTGAACGATATAGGGGAATCCCCCAAAGCTGTAGGGGGAATTCCCCGGTGGTATAGGGTGTATCTCTCTGCGCTATAGTGGGTGCCCCCCTGGACTGTAGGGGGAATACTCCGGGGCTATAGGGTGAATTCTCCGGGGCAATAGAGGGAATTCCCGGGGGGTGGAAAGGGGGAATCCCCCGGGGCTATAAGGGGAATCCTCCGGAGCAATAGAGAGAGTTCCCCGGGGCCGGCTTGTCTACATTGACTCCATGGCCTCCAGATAATCTTTATGGACTTCCTGCCTACAAATCGTCTATATGGATTTCTTAGTCTCTAGCTCGTTCGTAGTGACTTCTTCGCTTCCAGCGTTTCTTTAGGAATACCCTGGGTACCCCACCTCCTCTATATGACTCCCTGACCTTTAACTTGTCTAGATGAACTCATTTGCCTCCAGGTTGTCTTTCAAGGCTCCCTGGCCTCCAGTTTTTCTATAAAGGCTCCCTGGCCTCCAGATTTTCTATAAAGACTGTCCTGGCATTCAGTTCGTCTATAAAGTTACACAAGTCACCAGCTTGCATATAATGACTCCCTGGTCTTCAGTTCGTCTATATGGACTTCCTGGTCAATAAAGCGTCCCTGGCATCCAGTTCGTCAATAAAGAGTCCCTGGCCTCCAGCTCGTCTAAAAAGACTCCCTGCCCTCCAGATTATCCATAAAGACTTCTTGGCCTCCATTTCGTCTATAAAGACTCCCCGGCCTCCAGCTCGTCTATAAAGACTCCCTGGCATCCAGCACGTCTATAAAGACTCCCTGGCCTCCAGCTCGTCTATAGAGACTACCTGGCATCCAGCACGTCTATTGGGACTCCCTGGTCTCCAGCTCGTCTATAAAGACTCTCTGGCCTCCAATTCGTCCTATAAAGACTACCTCCAGTTCGTCTATGAAGACTACCTGGCGCCTAGTTCTTCTATAAAGACTACATGTACTCCAGTTCCAGTCTATAACTACTACCTGGCCTCCAGCTCGCCTGTTAAAGACTCCTTGGGGTACAACTAGTTTATAAAGACTACCGGGCCTCCAGTTCGTCTATTTGATCATCCCTGGTCTTCAGCTCGTCTATAAGGACTACCTGGTCTGCAACGTCTCTATATGGATTCGATAGTTTTCAACTTCTATGTATGAGCTCCCTGGCCTCCAGCTCATCCATATGGACTAACTGTCCTGCAATTCGTCTATATCGACTCGCAGACCTTCAACTCGTCTGTATGAATTCTCAGGTTTCCAACTTGCCTATATGCGTTTCCAGGCCGCCAGCTTGTCTATATGAACTCCTGTACTTCCGGGTTGTTTATATGACCATCAAAATGGACTTTATAACCTACAGCTCTATACGAACATGATGGCCACCATCTCGTCCATATAAACGTCCTGCCTCCCAACTCTTTATATTTAGAATTTCCTCGAAAACCCCTCTAGGCCTTGCGGATTCCCGCTATAGACCTTCGTAGTTATTTCCACGATATTTGCAAGAATATTCTAAATGTCTATAAAAATATTTGAAAATAATCTCTGATATTTTACATGGAAGTCCTGGAAACCCCCTTTTAATTAAACTTAGATCAAAATCCACTGCAACTGGTAACTTCAACCAAAAAACAAAATCTAAAATTTTAATGATTTCAAAAAAAGCTTTAGACATATTCGAACTGGTTGAATTTTATTTCAGATCTACGTCGGTGCAAAATTAGACATTCCTTCTCTTACCTCCCTCAACAAGGGGTCAAAATTTTGAATATTTCCCTCCGAACTTTGCACATTCCAATATTTTTATCAGCAATAGATCTAGAGTAAATGTGAAATAGTTCCACCCACAAAAATACCTTTTTTCAAAAAAAAAAAAAAAAAAAAAAACAAATGTCTCACAAGCATACTAAGGACTTAGACCTACTCATATGCTGGATGCATATATCTGTGAGTAATCCTTAATTGGTATGTCCTTAACACTGGATTGTCTGGGAAAAGGATAACTAGAAAGAAGAAGAATATCTGGGAAATCATTAAATTTTTGCTTGGAAATTCACAGAGCAAATAAAAACCGTTTTCTAAAAATGTTGGACACTTCTCTCGTTTGCCTTCAGATTTTATCATGAGGTCCATATCCTTAGATGTTTTTTCCTTCAAACAAACACATTTTTATATCCTTAATTCTTACATTTGATTTTCTTTATTCAATAATAAAGCTTAAATATGTCAATATTTTTGGAATATTCTTTTGTTGTTTTCATTTCTTCAAAAATATGTTGATTTCATTGTCTTAACCACCTCCTGCTCACATGGTCCTTTGGTGGAACATTCCATAAATGTTAAAAAAATAAATAATAAATAATGTTGTAGTTGTATTATCACAGTCAAACTTATGCTCCTCTCGGCATTTCGCGTTTGCGTTCACTGGTTCTATTTACACTGAATTTGAATCCTGGCAGTACCTTAACAAAATCTAGGTTGGAAGACTGAGGATCTTGTTGCTTTGCCGGTCTGGAAACCGGTTTTCTAAATTTGGGGGGAAATGGATGAACTATAATTTTAACACATTTCTTTGGCGCCCAATTGCCAGGGTCTCCATACCGAATCTGAGTTATTGGAACTGGCCGAAACTGAGGAATCCATGGAGTTGTCCACGGTAATGATGTCGATCATGTCACTGGAATCCTTGGCATCACGTGAGGATAACGAACTGAGGTTGGTACTTCCCGCCCTTGGGAATTGGGAGAAAGGTTCTCGGGATTGGTTGATGGCCTGCAGGGATTCACAAAAGGACTTTTGCATGCTGTTGGTTAAGTAGGGACTGGGTGTGGTAGTGGTGGTGTCAGGAACTAGGACTGGTGCAGGTGTTGCTGTTTGCAGGCTTAAACTGTGCTGCATATCCAGCAGCCGTGTCGACAGAAATTTCATCAGCTTACTGCGTACATCATCATCGAAATATTGCTGGAGTAGAACTTGAGATATCTGATCGGCGGCATGGACATATCCTGAACGAAACGACTCCACATGGGCATTGAGGCTAGAACTGCGTACTGCCAAATTGCCACGCTGTTTCAGTTTGCGCATGTGCTCCACGGTCAATTCCAAAATATCTGCCTTTTCCAGCCGCGTCACATGTTCCCCCTCCTGTGTCAGACATTCGACCATTAAATCCTTGAGATCATCCAGACACTTGTTGATGCGGGCACGACGTTTACGTTCCAGCAACGGTTTCATCACCTTACGGTACTGATACGTTTTGGACATTTCCATGACCATAATCTCTTGCCCGACCCCCGATTTGTAAGCTATCCTAGCGAAGAACTGTTATATCCAATTGGGAGAGGAGGAGGGTTTTCAATTTTTGGCGGAAATTTGCTTTGGTTTTTCCACTCTTTCTTTCTCTCGGACTCTACGAACATTCACGATCACGATCCGTTGTAGAATTTTCAACTTTGGTATGCGCTGCGCGTTTGACTTGCTCCGTGTGTCAAGCTCGAGTGTAGTTTTAGAAATGAGACCTAATCTTGGCCAGCGTTTTGTTTATATACATGGAACCGAGTTATTTATGCTTTCGATGCGATTCGCCCTCCTCTTCTCGTCTCGAGTTGGGTGTGTATGTGTGCCGGAATCGATGATGGTTTCTGTTTGTCTGTCGGCATTTGAGTTGGTTGCTGGTTCACATGCTTTGCTCTCCATGGGCGAGTGTGGTTGTTGTCGACGGTGGTGGTGGTTCGTTCTGCTGTGCTTGCATTAAGCTATGCTTTGCGGTGCGGTCCGTCCGTCCGTCCCAGTGTCTGGCGGATTGGTTGCTTTTTGAAATGTATTAAGCGAACCGTAACATACAAAAGATTCATGTGTTGTTCCCATTGGTAACGACGATCTCACTAGAGTTGCCGCTTTGTTCTCACACTCGTATCGCCGGCTAGGCTGGGATAGGATAGGGATAGGGGTGGATGGCTCACTCCATGGAAAAAAAACACAGTCATTGATCGTTGTTCTGCTGCGGCCTGTTGAATGCGGGAATGCCATGATAGTGTTGTAGAGAGAGAGGGGGATAAGAAGTACATATAGTGATAGTGGTGGTGGCGGTCGGTGGAGAGAGGGTTTGCGATAAGCTGACATGGGAAATGATCTCAATGGCAGTAATCATCAACCTGTTGTAGGGTTATGCCACAGAATTTGGAACAATTGGGATGTGGGGAAGTTTGTGGCCATTGGAGGAGAGAGTGGAAATACCAATAGGACCTCAAGTGAAGGAAATTGATAAACCGCTATGGAAAGGACTAAAATCGAACGAAGGACGACTGTATAATACCCTGCAGCACTATGCATTTGTAGCAGAGAACAATCAATAAAAAATAAGAATCTGTGCAAAAACAAAAAAAAAACAGGTAAAAAAGTAACTAAGTTCGGACGGGAACTACATTCTGTGACAGAAAATTGTCTAAGCAGGTCCAGGTCTTCGTATAGGTCTCATTATCAGTACCTCCCTATATTCGGTATTTTGACGAGTTTAGGTACAATACCCATCGAAATTGTTTGAGATGTCGTATTTGAAGTTCGTAATGGATGCAATAGCCCGTGACAGAAAATTGTCTATGCTGGTCCAGGTCTTCGCACAGCTCCGATATAACGATACCTCCCTATAAACGATATTTTGATGATTTTAGCTACATTAATCACCGTTTATTTCAAGTTTCGAATTTGAATACGTTAATGTCTTATGACAAACAATTCCTATGTAGGTCCACGTCGTATAGACCCCAATATAACAGCTATATTCGGTATTTTTTAAATTTTTACAGAATTTTTTAAGGATTTTATTTTTTGAAAATTTCCAAATGGTGGAGGGTAATCAAAGTTCGGCCCAGCGGAACTTTGAATATGGGAACATGATCGACTTAGAGCAAGCAGCGTTTTATCTGAGAGCTTTTTGGTTTTAGGATAAAATTTCGTCTGGAAGAAATTTGAAAAATTTCAACAAATTCCGAGAAATAAGTGATGATCTTTATATAGGGGCTATATGAAGATGCGGACCTTTTTAAGTAATTTTTTGTCATAGGCTGTAGTGCCCATTAAGATATTCAAATACGAAATTTGAAACAATTCCGGTTAATAATATGGCTAAAATCATCAAAATACCCAATAAAGGGAGGTGCCGCTATATGGGGGCTATACGAAGACCTTGATATGTATACAAAATTTTTAGGCATAGGCTGTAGTACCAATTGAAAACTGCGAATACGAAATTTGAAACGATTCAGGCCTATAATGTCGCTAAAGTCATCAAAATACGGAATAAAAGGCCGGTGCTATACAGAGACGAGGACCTGCAAAAGTAATGTTTTGTCATAGGCTATAGTACCCATTACGAGCTTCAGTTACGGAATTGGAAACAATTCCGGTAAATAATATCCCTAAAATCAACTAACTACCGAATATCGGGAGGTATCGCTATAATTTTTTAATTTTTTGCCACTAGCTGTAGTACCCATTTCGAGCGTCAAATACGAAAATTGAAACAATTCCGGTGAATAATGTCTCATCAAAACGAAAATTAAATACGAAATTTGAAACAATTCCGGCAAATAATGTCCTCAAAATACCGAATATCTGGAGGTATCGTTATATGGGCGCTATACGATATCGTGGACCATGTGGGCATATCCTGCAAATATGGTAATCCGAGAGGTATCGTTATATGGGGGCTATATGATATAGTGGACCTATATCGACAATTCTCTTACAGGCGGAAAAGAAGGAACACCTTGGGTAGAATTTCAGACAATTACATTGAAAAATGTAGCTGAAATCATCAAAATAGCGAATATCGGAAGGTATCATTATGGGGGTGCTATACGATATCGTGGACCGATATGGCCTTTTCTGTAAAACCCTTTGCTGGAGGCATATCCTGCAGTGTTGGTAACCCTATACCAACATTCTCGCCTCTCTTGTTGTTTTCTTTTTTTGCTGTTTCTGTTAATAAAAACAACCACTTTATTGAAGTCCCATTGCTACCGATCACCATCACCATCGTCGTCATCATCATCGTCACCACTACCACCACCACCATCGAGATCAACAACTGTACAGTGCACTTTGGGCATTGGCAAATGCTACGCTTGTGCCAATAAGAGAATATCTATTTGAAATGAAATAGGGATGTAGAATTTGACTCAGAATAACAAGGAGATTTGAACCTAATATTCCCTTGCTACAGGTGTGGAAATAAATTCGAATGGTTTCTGGAGATATAAATGTTTAAGACTGAGAGGTGTGTCTTATTGATACAGAGGATATATATCATTTGATATGGTGTTCGACTCCACATTACTTTGGTCGGAATTCGTTTCAGGATAGTTGCAGTCGATTGAGAAATGTCAGTCTGTCCATCAATGTGGCCTGGGTGGTTGGTGTCTCGAAAGGCGAATTCTATTTGGTCCAAAATTGGCACAACGTCATAGCTTTCATTGGGTTCAAAGATGGACCAAATCAGCCCAATTAGTTAAAAAAGTATCAAAAATGATAAGTTTCCAAGACTTCACTCAAGGGACAAAATAAGTGTTTTCTGGGATTTTTAGAGGATCCAAAGAACGTTTTTTTCAGGACTTTTCAAGAAGATTGCTTGGATTTTTTAAGGGCGAAAAAAAAGCTTTTTAGAAGTAAAATAGATTTTTCCAAGATTTTTTAAAGGACAAAAAGAGGAATTTTTAGGCTATTTGTGACAGGGCTATCAGAGCCAAAGGTGTGGACTTTGAAGGGCGATTTTCAAGGACAAGCTGAGATATTCTTCTGGACTACCAGAGCACATCGTCGTGGCTATTTTTAAGACGGTTGGTTTTAATGATTAAATGAGATGTTTTCCATTGGCGTGGATTTTTCTAGGATCAAAAGCGAATTTTCTACAATGTTTTTTTTTTATAGGCATAAACATTGTAGCTATCTTTTTTAAGGACCAAAAGCTAAGAGTTTTTTGAGAACCACAAGATAAATGTTCCAAGGCCTCTTTCAAAGGCCAATAGAATTGCTTTCCAGAACTTTCTCTAGGAGCAAAATAGGACAGAATTTTTCAAAGAAGTCGGCATGGACATTTTTTTCGAAAAACTTAGGTAGATTTTTTCCAAGAACTATCAAAGCAAAAAATCGGGACTATCACTGAACATCTGCGTGGACAGTTCAATAGGATTTGCTTCAAGTATAAAATTTAATGTTTTCCATATTTTTAAGGATTTCTACAGCTGTGTTTTTACGACGGATTTCTCAAGGACGAAAGGCGATTTTTTATAGCGATGGTTATGCATTGTTCAGAGCCACTTTTTAAGGATCAAAACAGAATTTCTTATCTTAAGTTTTCCTTGACTTCTTTCAAGGCCTAAAAGGGATGTTTTCCAAGTCTTTTTCTGGGACCAAAAGAAAAGTTATCAAGGTATTTTAAGGCAGTACACATGGAGTCTTTAAGGCTACTTTTTAAGGGACCAAAATATAGATATTTATTTTGAGTGCCAAAAAATATATTTTCCAGAACTTTTCTTCAGGAGTTAAGTGACACTTTTTTCAAGGCCTGAAAGAGAAGAACCAAAACTAAAGTTTTCCATGATTTTAAGAGCCATTAATGAGAACTTTTATGACAAATTTTGAAGGACTTACAGAGATTGTTTTCCAGGATAAAAGGTGTGGACTTTTTAGGATGAATTTTAAGGACATGCAAAGATAAGACCATTTTTTAAGAACTAAAACAGATGTGACCCATGCTTTCAATAGGCGTGGAATTTAAGGACATATTTTTCTATGATTTTTTTAAAAAATCAAAATTGATATTTCCCCGGCCTCCGAGCCATAGCCATGTACACTTTAGGCACAAATATAATTCTTTCGAGTTCTAAAAGATTAAAAACTTTTTACAAGGACAAAGTCTAAAGTTTTCCAAGACATCAATCAAGGGCTAAAAGATTTCTTTTTCGGAACTTCTTGTACCAAAATGACAAGTTTTCCAGGACATTTAAAGCAATTTGGACCTTTTAGGGACATTTTTACAATTACAAGAAATGATAAGTTTCTTCGAGGATTAAAAGAGATATATATTCCGGAACTATTTCTCAGGGACAAAGGCATACGCTTTTCAAGATTTTTTCGATCACATGAATAGTTTTCAACGACTTCTTCTAAGACCAAAGCAATAGTTTTCCATGAGTTTAAGAGCCACTAATGCCATTGAGGCACTTAAAGAGATGTTTTCTATGGCAAAAAGTGGGTACTTTTTAAGAATATTTTTTAGCTGAGATATTCTTCAGCTCTTTCAGAGCACATCGATGTGTAAATTTTCAAATCTATTTTTTAATGATCATCTAAAGAAACTTTAATTTATTTGATACCCTCTAAAATAGTATACCTTCTGGAGGTCTTCCACAGACCACATGCAAAAGACTTACTTTTTTATGAAAATTTAGGCCCTACCAAAGGTATTCCGTATAGTGAAGACCCAAGATGTTTGATTGATGGAATACCTTTTCAAGACTCTCTATGGACTTCAAGGACTTTTCAATTGTCTTATCTGCTTATGTTTTTCTAGAGTTAAACGACTTTCCATAGATCTCCGTTAAGAGCAAAAGGGTTTAGCATTTTAAGAGGTCTTTGCCTATGAGAGGACTTTGAAATATAACCAGTTTTGTCAATGACTAGAACATACATTCATAAGGGTAAAAGTTTTAAAGACTGATAAAGATGATAATTAATAGTTTTCCATGTCTATAAGTATTTTGAGCCTTGAACAGAGAGATTTTCCAGGTTGAGGTCTGTAGCCTTTTTTGGACTACTTTTGAAAGGAATTTTCCCGCATTTTTAGTGCCTTATCCTTGCAATATTTTCGAAACTACCTTTGGGAGTAATTTCCCCCGATTTTCA